CCTACAAATATCATTGTTGCCTTATTTAGACAAGAAGCCTTAGTCCTCTTTTACTTCGGGCTTCATGGACTTGGATCTTCTGTGCTCAAAAGCATAGATGCTACTGCCTTTCCTAGTAGAAAGTTAAACATTAGAATCACGACCCCATTGGGTGTTATTTACATAGAGGTCTTCAAATCTACCAAATTCCGATTGCAAAGGCCAAAGCTTCAAAACTCTATTCAACCAAAAATAAAAGCTATTTACGTGGTTCTCAAAACCACAGGTTCTTTCAGTACCAGTAAGACCGCTAGAAATTGATGAATTTTCATTAATTTCAATAGCTAAATGTATCTATATATGCGACAATGTTTCTCTTGCTTTGATTTTTCTAATGGAAACACCGTCTAAAATTTCTATTAATGAACCATGACAGTGAACATTGATCGAGTTTTCATAAAAGAAGAGGCAGTCTGAAATATAACTTCATAATATCATAACAGAGGATTTCCAAGGATGGTATTATGAGGATAGAAGTGGCAAGAAGTGGGCATCAGAGGCACATTGCTCATTGCCGCTCTCTTTTTGGAGGTAGGTTGTTGGCTCTACGAGGGAACTCAACACGAGACTCATTCATGCTGCAAAGAACGCTAAACGAATTTCTGAGTTTGCTGCTGCAGTTGTCATTCTTCTTGCAGCGTCGAACTCTTTCTTTGGGAAGAAGGCGCTGTTGAAAGATTTGGAAGTGCTACCACTTTGGCTCCGCGGATTGGAGTCATTTGGTGCTGTTGCGACTGTTGAGATTGAATTGAAGCTGGATGCAAACATAGGAGCTGATATCATGGCTGGAGTAGGCGGTGTGACACGTGCTAGAGATGGTGTGTAAGAAATAATTATACTACATTGAATTGAAAACAACCCTCTAGCTTTGAAGTATATTACTACATAATAGGAAGGACATCCATAAGTTACAAACACTGCAACCTTATTGCAAGCCAATATTTGTACACACACAAATGATCAACATATAAATGGTATGAATTACAGAAATTCACACAATTTCAGCATCTACTTTATAGAGCTAGAAAATATGTGGCAAAGGTAGAGGCAGGAGAAGTAGCAGAATGGAGGTGGAACAACATTTGTCACCTTCCTTCCCCAATAATGTCACTGAATTTAGTGATATTCAATGGAGAAGCCTCCAGCTCTATACCTGGATTAAGATTATTCTTGTTCTTGTTATCACTATGCTCAGATCCAGTAGACGGTGTGTTTTCAGCCTCGATGCTGGATGTTATGTCCTTAAAATCCCAGTCAGTTAAATAACTTGGTTTTGATACAACAGGGCTCGCTTCGATATCCCCAGCAAGCATAGTTACAACCCTCGACATGGGTGGTCGCATCATTGGTGATGCTTGTGTGCACAGGAGTCCCACTCTTATCATTCTTAAAGCTTCATTTTCATCAAACTCTACTAGGGTTGGATCCAACAGACCTAGACTTTGGTTGCTTTCATACAGAGTCCATGCCTAGAAACA